CAACGTGTAAAAAGTGATTTGCTGCTTGCAATGGATGATATCAGATGCTTACAAGTACATTTAATTTGATTACTTGTGGCATTTGTTTGGGAAATATTAAACTTTTGGCCCCGAACAGTAAGAGGAAAACTGACCTGATTTGCAGCCATACAGCTCCAGTCGAAGGCCGACATTATCTTTGAAACCCATCGGCATCAGCGTGACTCCATTTGCTTTTACTGGAAGGATCATGCGATTTAACCTTATGGTGTTACTGTCGTTGTTTCCAACAAAAAACTGACAATAAAGGGACATAACGGTCATCAGTATATACCACTTGAGTTAATAGTGCTTTTCGCGCGCGCTAATTGGCTAGTTTGGAAGTAAATAGCGAGTAGTATTCACATTTGAGCAGCCAATGAGATAAAGTCGCGCGTCGAGAGTTTAATTTCCAACCATTTTTTGGAATATTGCAAGAAATAAAGTAATTATTTTTTGGTATGTGTGGTATATACTAATTAACAATTATTTCATTGCCTAAGTATACCTCAACTGGCAATGATATTTTGATTTTCTGTATCGTATCCTTGCAATCACTGACTGACATTTTGACAACAGGAGTAGAATTTATGATCAAAATCAAATGAAGAGTTGTTTGTCATTCGAGTATTACGCTTCTAGTTCGTGCAAACGAATCAGCCATTTTTGCTGTGATGCTGCTGGCTGCAAGGCACAGGACCTGAAACTGGTAATGCTCAGGTTGTCGAAACTTCTATCTTTGTCATCTTAAACAGAATTTTTCAGAACTTCTCTCATACTGACGGTCAGACAACATAGTCAGCTCTTATTCATTGGTTTGAACCATTTTGATTTATTGAGGCAACTATCTTGTTTTTTTCCTGCTTCACTGGTTCGCAACCTTCGTAATTCACCTTAAATAGTTTTCTCTTGTCTGAACAGGGTGCTTAAATAATTAATCTGGTAGGGGTAAATTTACCCCAGAGGCATTTTGAGACTAAAGCAATATCATGAAAAAGAATCTGGCAGTCCAGTGGTAGTACTATACCTAGCTAAACAGAGATAACAGTCACAACGAATAAACATATTTGAAGCACACGCAGTTGAAGACAACAAACACCTGAAAACCGCAATTTTTATAACAATGAGAAAATTAAAAACATTCATGGAGGCAGTGTGTGGAAAACAATAAGCCCTCCGGTGAGAGTTTTACCAGAGAACTGATACTGTGAATAGTTGAAGCAGAAAACGAACTTAGGAGAATTTTATGAAAGCAGAAGAAAAGTTAATACGCTAACCAATTTATCAAAGTATAATAAATCTTTTCAAACCACAACACCAGGTTCTCGAGTCCTACTGCGAGTTTCGAACAAACATTCGTGACATTTAGCGAAATTTATTTCTTTTCTTAGATTTAGAAGCGTTGTTGTTTAAAATCACGGAATTTCATCATAAACGATTGTTTATCTTAACGCCCTATATCGATGGAAATATTCCATTTTCTCTGTTTAATAGAAGTGCGGAACAAACGTACTGACATAAGTTGTTTTGTTGCGGTGGTTTTACAAAGTTGCCCATTACGGTGACAGAATATAAATTTCAAGGTATCTGTAGCAAATTAAAGAAAGCTCGTTTGCCAAGTAGACCTGCTTTGGGCAATTCAATAAAATCAACAGCCTGGACTTGTCCAGAATTATTTGGAAGTTTTAAGCTGATGCATACTATTAGTGAAACGAAAAAAAATACTTGTCAAAAGAATGGTCACCGATTGAAACAATTTTTTTTTCATAAAATTACTAAATTGGATCAGTTGGATTACTCGGATCAGTTGCTGCAATTTTAGTCTCTAAGTTGGCAAATAATGTGACATACAAAATTAGGAACTGGATACGGTAGTTTTCTTTTTAATTCATAGAACGTACAATCCTAGACTTCGTTCAGAAATCTGTTTCTTATGTTTTGACCTTTTAATGTTTCAAAGTTATTAACTTCATCTCTAATTTTGTGTCAGATTATCCAAGCTTCTAAAAATGGATAGTCTTTAAAGTTTTCCAAACGTCGCTCAACAAAATTTGAATTTTTAAATCGTATCCCTTTTGCAAATAAGACACGATTCAATTTTGAGGAAAAGTGTATCTGCTTCCTCTTACCTGTGTTTCTCCATTGGTATCCTTAAAATTTACATAATCTGAGCCCTGGCTATACAGCAAAATATAGGCAGTAACCCATTCCTTAACTTCTGGATTGCCGTAACCTTGTGTTGCAATCGCTGTAACAACCACAGTATGCCCAAGGTCTACTTTCAACCAACTTTCACCGGCGTTTTCTGGTGCTGAACGATATCCTGTTGTATTGAGCCTCGCTCTGTGAGCACCGAAAGTTGTGAAATCGTTATCAAAAGCTGATGGAGCCGTAAATTGATTATCTTTGATTCTGCCATCGGAGATTCCCAACGGGTGAAGACATCCATCTGCCGATCATAACCAAACACTTGTTATCATACTTTGAAACTCATACAAAATGTTTCTCTTTAGATTTCAATACGGAAAATAATCAATTATAACCTGAAACATCGTAGGCTTTCGTTGTTTTCTCCGAACCATGGCTGAGAAGGAAAAGATTTAAAAGATACAAGGTGAATATTTCTAACGCAGGCATCTTTTTTCGTGCGTATGTTAATGACTCGAGGAGTTAAACATGAATAATATAAGTATGAAACATCCACAGACCAGCTGGGGCCCAAAATGGAATTGTTGATTTTTCTTGTTTTGACAAGTTTTGAATTGTTTTGTTTGCGATGGTCAATCTAATTTTGACGTCAATACGCAGGATTAATCATGGCGAACATTCAGAATGATTTTGTTTTATTATTTTTATTGTTTTTTTAGTATTTGATATTTTCCAGAATGTTCTCAATATTTTTGTCACATATTTTAGCGAGGTCTCGCGCACATTGAGTACCACAATGAGATGAATAAAAAATGGTTTTACTAATTTTAGATTTACTGCTTTGACTACGTTCCACCAAAGTGTAAACGAATCAGTGCCTATTCAAACGACGAAAGAAAAGCAAAACGGCATTTTTAAGTGTAGCGATATTTAGTAAGCTACCTTCACCGATTTTCTTTAGTATCTTTCCATATAAAACATGAAAGCGGCATAACTGAGATAGCAGTGTCTCATATTTTTTTGTCTCTTCTTTGTGTTTTAACAACGGAAGACCTGCTGGTATGTCTGTTTAAAAGACAAGCCCTTGTGTAGACATTAAATCGAACATCTCAAAGCCAGGTAAAGAAAAGAGATCCCTTTTCGCCGATTTTCATCAGTATCTTGCCATAAACAAGATTAATATGAAAGCAGCCATATGTGATAGCAGTGTCAAAAATGTTCCTCTTCTTTGTGTTTAACAACTGAGAACATTTTGCTATGTCTAGGTAAAACACCTCAAAGGAAGGACAAAAAACGTGATCCATTCTAAAAGAAACAAGGTCCGCCACGTGCATATGTGACATGTGACATTTGAACATGGACCTAAACTGGTGAGGTGTAAATGTGGTTGTGGTGATTCTAAGTTGCAAAAACAAATTTAGATCTGATGGTGAAGATTCCTTTAATGTAATCCTTCTGCTGGACAAGTTATTTTTACCTGCGGTGTGATATGGCTTAAAGCATAGATTTGAAGACAGATGAGCATTGACTGTCTACCGAGCAAATTTGTACAACGATTTCGAATCCCGCTTTATGAATAAAACATGGCCGGGACAGATTTTAGCGACCACCTTTGATGACTCATGGTTCCATTTCTTTTACACTTCAAACTGGAACTGCAGGTGTTTCTTTGAAAGCAGAAAATGTACTCAGATTCATCTCATGTCGGTGAGGAAGGAAAACGTGTATTACAGGAATCTACAACGGCATTTTGAGAATAAAACTTTCTCTGCAGAACATTACCCTCTTAAAGAAGGCTAAATCATGTGCATGATATAAGCTTTAAATGAAAGACAATGGCGAAACTTCAAAAGAATGGTGATCATGTTCAACCATCACGAGCTCCACAAAAGATCGTTTTAGTTACATCTGTAAAGTATACATCTTTTAATTAACTTAAAATAAAAGTTTTAGGAAAGAAAGTTGTTGAGATCAAACGAGGCACATGATTGACTTCACATCTACGCTTTGCAAACTCATTATTCTTTTTTCCAATCAGGCCGTTTACCAATCCGGGCTCTCACAGGGAAGCCATTCCTCCATACATAACGGTCCATCATTGCCGCTTTCAAGTCCAGAATGAATTTCTCTTTCTTTGACTTTGCCGCTTATTTCTGATGCGATAACAGTGAAACTCTATGTGGAAACAGTTTGTCACGAAGGATCAAAAACAGGATCGCTCCCTGACTATTTTGAGTTTATTTACTTTCCGATGCTCGTTACGAGGTAGTTTCTTTTAACAAAGAAGACTTAAAAATTCCTGTTCCACTGATTTTATCGTAATTTAATCTCGCAATATATAGTCCTCATAATGGATGGGTGACCCACCTTTGCTCTGGTAGCCGTCAAGACTTTCTCACATAGAACAGGCGGATTCGCTAGCCAGTTCACTTTTCCTCTCTATTTCACAATAAATGATTATTATGAAACCGAAACGGTAACCTTCATTCTTTTTTAGAGTAAGAGTCACCTTTCAAGCAAAGAAATCAGTGATCCTCCGTTGAGTCGCAAAAAAGAAATCAGGCTTCGGCGGAAGTCAATCCCATGTCTCTCAGTTAAACTCGAGCCTCTCTGTTACACCCATACCTTTTAGTTATAGTTATGCCTCGCAGTTAAACCCATGCCTCTTAGTTAAATATATGCCTCTCGGCTAAACCTATGCCTCTTAGTTAAACCCCTGCCTCTCAGTTACTAGTGTGGCACAACCACCAACCGAGCCAGAGGCCACGCGTTGGGAGCAACTGCTCAAATTTTAGAATAAAACAAACAAAAAAAGGAGACAATGCGGCCATGAATGTAGTTCTTACGATGAACTTTATTCCTTCTTTCTTAAACAAGAATGTCTGACATGATGTATCTTGTAATTATTCACCTATATGAAGAACCAACTAAAAGGCTCTAAACTTGGTGAGCTACATAAAAAGAGGGGAACGCTGGCATTCGGTATCGATGTCACATGTACGAGGCCGTGAGTACCAAGTCTATTTCTAAATAACGGGTTGATGTTTAATCTTCCTCGATTGCCTTCTCGCCTGACATCTTAAAAACGTAGTCCGCGTGTCTCGTGCTCCTCCTCCTCCTTATTTTGTTTCTTGTCTTGGTGTTTCTTGTCGTGTTTCTTCTTTCCCTTGGATGGTTTGTCCTTGCACGGATAAGTGCCGCCACATGAGGACGACTGCACGATGATCGGCTCCGGATAAGGTGCCGGATATGGCGCAGGATAAGGTGCCGGATAAGGTGCAGGGAAAGGTGCCGGGCACGGCGCCGGTGCTGGTACTGGTGTAACTGCTCCACCTTGGCAAGGTGGTCCACTCATCAACGCCGTTAAAGCAGCTACCATCTGCCCGAGGCACACCGAGGGGTCGCCTTGTGCAGCACAGGCTTGGAAGTCAGCACAGGCTTTATTCTACGAATTGAAACAGCATGTAATTCATCTTTTCGGCAACAATAGAATTGAGAAAATTCATTCCTTTTCTTTCTTTAGAGAGAAGAAGAAACACAAAAACATTAATTGTAAGACAGCCCCTTTTTCCGCCAACTTAACCTCTAAAAAAGACAAGTGTTGTAGAGACGGAACAGAACGAGTAACTTAATACTGAAAACAGCGCGAATGAAAATGATATTATCCTTTGGTGACTAAAGAGAATGCTATCCTTGTTTTAAAAAGTAAAGACAACATACCCTTAAAAACTCACAAGAAGTTATCTGAAGTGTGCTTGGATCAGGATAATAATTGGCCTCCCAATGACTAACTGTGAGAGGTACAAATGTCTCCTCTATGAATTAAGAGTCTATGAAATTAAACCTAAGAAAGGATAAGCGAAAATACTCACAACTCCGTCAACAAGGGGATTTGGTGGAGGGGGGGGCCCTGCAGCAGGGGGAGGAGGAGGAGCACCTCCCGCTGGTGGCGTCGTTGCTCCTGCAGCAGGAGGAGGCGGGGTGGTTTCCTCTGCACTTCCACTCTCCTCTCCTCCTTCTTCTGGTTTAGCTTCTAAAAATGAAAATGATACAACACTTGTAATTTCCTGTTATCTCTTTCGCTGGTCCCTTCTTGGCTTTGTTTGTATTCCTTGTTACTAAATATGCTATAAGTATACCAACGGCTACTAAGGCAATGGATAATGACTAGTCTTTTATATATGACTGTAAATATATGAAAATTATATATGTGAACTGCGGATAAAGAAATGGGATCGATATCAGTATCTGGGCAATTGCCCACCTACCCCTCCCCTAATCCAACAACAGTCTATTGATAACAAGTTAGGGTTAATGTTGGGTTAGGGGAGGGGTAGGTGGGAAGTTGCCCAGATACTGATATTGATCCAAGAAATGATCTTCGCAGTAATGAACACTACTTAAGCGGTAGTGAAAATAAGGCCTGAAAAACATTCAGGCCTGTACGGGATTTGAACCCATGATCTTTATTATTCTATATTTGCGCTTTCTGGATACGAGATTGGTTATAGCCAACTCGGTGTTAGGCGCCTCGTTGGCTATTTATCATTTCATTTACCCAACAAGAGCGAATGGAATAATTGTTTCATTAAATCACATTAAATCCTGAACGTTTGGATATTTGGAGATTTTGACAGCTCCGCAACAGTTGGTGTGACGCACTTCCATATTAGGTGACGCGGAATATGAGCTGATAATCGGGGCTGAGTGAACCAATCAGGACGCTAGAAATGCGATATTTCTGAGTTAAAAATTTATAATTACTGTCATTTGTTTTAAGCTTGGATTGTCATCTGTGGTCTACTGACCTCATGTGAATTTTCCTGGGGAGACGCGCTAGATGCCTGGGCAGGAATATGTACTTCCCATTAGAGTTAGGAGTTTATGTATCATTAAAATTGTGAAATAAAAAGAAAGACAAAAAAAACATCCCACCTTCTTCAGCGATGTAAGTGTCATCAAAGTCTTCTTCTTCAACTCCCCGCTCATCCTTGGAAATATGAGAAGAGAAATCATTCTTTAATCGGTCTTAAGGAAAGTTGAAGGGAGAGGGATTCATGTAAATTAACAATCTTTTATTTCTGTTCTATACTTGAGGCAGTCAGTTTGTGTGGAGATGGGCGGAAAAGCTGGGCAAGTGGGTAAGGGTAAGATAACTTAAAAATTCCGACCGATTTTCTTTCCCTCGCTCGTAAATTTGTTCATCCAGTCCCAATTGACTGACAGCCCAGAGAAGTTTTATATTCAGTTAGCTTTCTAAGTTTTAAACATGCTTGAGTTGGTTGATCATGACAAAAAAAAAAATTTGTAATGAAGCTTTAAGTTACCAGCCACATCACGTGTTTTCTACGCTTTGGACATAACGGAAAAAAACGATGTCTGGAAAGTGTTCAATTTGAATGGGCTTTGAACTATATTCATGCAGACTGGTAGACAACCGGTATAAGTAGAAAAAAAAAGAGAAATATAAAAAAATGGCCCATAAGTTGTTTTGAGCTATGCATCAGTTGTTTTGGGCCCATAGTTCGAAATTAAACAAGTGATTAATTCTCAAACGTGTCCTGTTGAAATGTTGCGTATGTTGTGTTTTTCCGGTGAATTATTTCCGTGAAATCATAAGCCGGCGTCTTCTTTAAAGTCATCGTTTTAGTCATCATTTATCGTTGTCATGCTTGGATCGCATGCAGATACAGGCAAAAAACACAAAAGAATCAACAGGTATCAAGATCGAGGACATGTTCTCTTGCTTGCATCAGAGTAGTGATCGGCTTCAAAAGACTCTTCTAAAAAATGGTGAATGAAATTATTGAAATTAGACGAGAACGAAAGCTGTCGCAATAACAAGAAAGTTGAATAGTACACACATAAGCTTTTATTGAACATTTCGAGTCAACGCAATTTTTTTTTCAGAGAAATAACGCTTTGCAATTTTGCACATTTACAGAGACGTGGAAACATAGAGGAGAAAATTTCTCTAATTTTTTTACTTTATGTTTAAATCTACTTTTCTCGGCTGAGCATAACTAATTTCTTGTGCAGTTTAGTCAAAGCGGTTATGATGTTCAGAAACCATTTTGAAGATGAACAAAAGAAAAGTAAAAATATAAATCATTTTCTTTTTTCCCTCAAGGTAAGTAAACCCTTCCCTTCCCCTCTTAACAGTCTACATTTTCTCTTTGTTTCTTCTGAAGAATTATTTCATGGCTAAAATGTTCACTGATTTAAGCAGCTTCTACAGGCCATCAAGATTTAATAAGATGCTTTAACACAGAGGATTGCTTCTGAACAACAAACTCGTCAAAAGATTAATGAGAAATAACTAAAAATCTTTTTAGAAGGACGCACAAGGAGATACTCTGCAATTTGAAAGTAAATAAGCTAAATCTTTTAAACTTGGACACTCGATAACTCGAGCTGAAGCTCTTTAATTTTCATCGGGTCACAATCCTTACAACTGATTTTAGCCCTGATTTTTGAACGTGGTGACCTGAAACGTCGATGTCAACGGCACACCTCAAAAGCAACAATCTATGGAGAATCTGCTGATCATCTTTTAGTAAAGTAGTTGCTTCATAATTCACGACAGAGTTGTCCTCTCGACGCTCTAGGAACTAGCCGAAACATGAAAACTTTGCCTTCTCTGGTCGGAGAAAATGAATGACAAAGAGAAGGCGAAAATTTTTTTTTAAGGTTCTAATTGGCGAAGAGATCGGAAAATTATTTGGCAGAAGAAAGGTAACGCTATTCCCAGAAAAAGGATGAGGTTTGCTTTTGAGGAAATCTTTGCTCAGGTGAGTCTCCTCGCTTTACAAGATATTTCTATTCCTCGTCTACCCAGGCCCACGTGTAATCTTGAAACAGTCGATTGAGAGGTGTTTAACCCTTCCTACAAACAAATGTGTCAGGCCATGCTGATTTTGCCTGTAATCATGCAAAAATCTCAAACCTTTATTGATGATAATTATGATAATTGGTCAATTTTTTGGCAGAGTTTTGTTTTACAAACATCACCAGAAGAGAAAATAATTCGTATGTAGGTGCGGCAGAAAAAAAAAAACTCTTCTTTGATTTCGAACTTAACTCTTAAAAATTCAACCGAGATCGTCGAGATTCCACCATTCTACCTACTCACCTCGTTCGACGGCCTTGCATAGCCTGTAATAAGGAAAGCAGCCAAAAGAAGGAAAATCAAAACACGTTTAAGCTCCATTATTGTCTCGTTTGTGGCACTACTTGGAAGTCGGTCAAGACCATTTACATAGACAAAATATATAACACATAAATTAATCATGTCTCGTTACTGGTAGCAGGTCACAATAGAGAACGGAGTAAATAAAAGTGACCATGGTCCACAGGTGTATATAAACAAATCAGACCGGTGCTTTCCAAGGGCTTTGTTAGTACTTAAATTGCAAGGACGATTTCTCTTATCAAATTGCAAATTTGTATGAAGAAAAATGATGTTTTATTAAAAGGATAAGCTACTTAAGGCTCAATATATTTGTGGTTAGACCAATTTACGGGAGACAAAGGAGTTCTGGAAGCAACCGGGGTTTATCCGTTTGCAGATTTGTAATTTGATCTGTTAAAAGCCTGTCTTTTATGGAACCAGTAAACTCAAAGCTATTTCTTAAAAGCAGTAGTCCACACTTTCTATCGGTATACACTTGTGCGTGTGTTTGCCCTTTTGCCCATGGATGAATAACACTCTTAGGATGGTAGGAAAACGCTACAAAAGCTTTGAAAGCTCTCGTCTTTGGCTCGCGGTCTTTACCAGTTCTTATCATGTTTTCCCTACCGGAAAGTCATTATGCTTGGTAAACTGATAAGAATTGCGGTTTAATGCGCCATCTCAAAAGAGAAATTTTGCATATGAACTCGTGGAACACTGACGATTCTGTGTGCATGTGTTTGGGTAGGAGATGATCTCAAACCCAGATCCTACCGTGTAACTGTAACTTTCAACCGCTTGAATGTGGAAGGTCTGAGTGCGAGGCTATTTATGGGTTGGGGGGAGGGGGGTGGACGGGGAAGGCGCATAAAACTGACTCAGAACTTACGGAAGATGTCTGGGGAAAATGTTAACGACGTGTTGAATATTTCAAATTCTAAAGACAAGATTATGAACCATCAATGGTTCTGAGTGGATTTGTGCTCCGTCTTTCTCGTATTTCTATCAGTTTTGTTAATGTTATGGGAAGCTATTTTCAGTGTCTTTTGATGACGTGGAATCAATGGTGGTCATTCTAATAGGAACAACAGGAAGCTCTACATGCTCTCAGTAACCTGTTCCAACAACATGGCTTCGAATATGTAATAATCCAATGTCGCTAAGCCCACATACTTCGCCGCAATTCTTCTAAGAACTCTTCTGTTTCCGAGTGCAAAGTCCTCAATGGGTAGAATCTTTGGATTCCACAATCGTAAGCATTCTGTCTTGGAGATTGGTGCACGAGCAAGGCCCCATTATTAACAGCGCAAGTCACACATTTCTCCGCCAGCGGGAAGATTTGAGACGAGCCAACGGGGATTTGCCGGAGATCTGGCACCAGGATCCTCTCAGACCTCTTGCCAGCTCGCATTTTTCAATGCTTCTTACTTTTTTTGGGAAAGGAAACGCTTGTGCCGAAGGGCTCATGACGAGGGTTTTCTCGTAGGCTTCTAGCAGATAAATTAAGGTTTTATTCCAATGCTATGGCTTTAAGGAATTAAGGTGCATGTCATGTGATCTAGAGATACAACTATCTGTTCAGCAAGTTGTTGTGACTTGACATGTGGTATAATACTGAGACTGAAAACGCGCCATACTTTCTTTATTTCCAGTTCTCTCCTGATTTTGAGGACGGCATTCTCCTTCTTCACTATGTATTTTGAAAATTCAGAGTCTCGACTTTATCTTAAACAGTCACTTAGAAGTTTGACAGCATAAACTCTCCATTCTACCAAGTTAATGGGGGCTACTCTACCCCAAAAGTTTTCTGTTAGAGGGCTACAGTCCCTCTGCTCCGCCGCCAATAAAATAACCCTTTACATCTTAACATCAGTACGCATATTTTCTCCCAACTGTTCTCTCTATATTTCCTAAGTTTCTGAAAAGGAGAATTTGTTCAACAATCAAGAGCGTCTTGAAGTACCTATGACGTTAATTTTTTTTTGCGTAATTATCTAGCCTATCATATGTACAAACCAATTTCAATAGAAGGAAAATTCTAAAAAAACTTAAACTCGGTTTTTTCGGGTCCTAAAGCGCTCTTATTTTGTCGTTAAAGTGTCCCGTGGACTGGTAACGAATTAGCGGGTGATGACGTAGAAAACAGTGAAAACTCTCAGTTGACACTTTCAAATCTCTCACACCTCTTGCAATTTTGTATCAGCCAGCATTAACTTACTCTTGAAATAATGTGCGATGGCGATGTATACCTTCCCTCAGCATGCTCTACCGAGAGTAGTGATACATTGTACTCAAGTAGTAAAGGAGAAATGGAAGTTGCGAGTAGGGCTCGGCGCTACGAAGGAGAACCGCGTGCACCAAACGAAGATGGCGATGAAGACTGACAAGGACGGTTCTCGACTGCGGTGTTCAGGTCAAGATTAGGAAAAAAAACTCTTGTTATTGAATTTTTAGTTTGTTGCGTTTATGTTTTGTTTTTTATGGCGAAATCTATGTTAAAAATACGTGGCTGTGTTCGTTTCTGTTGCCATAACATTTTATTCCGCCGCACTAATTGCGGCGAAGGTTTCCCTTGGTCAGTACTTTAGAGTTTCGTTGCCGTAAGGTAATTCCCTTAAGAAACCAAAAGCTATCTTTTGACGAAGGAATCAGCTGTATCACGAGGCGCGATGGTATTCGCTGAGAAGTCATTGGGCAGTTTCACAGCAAGGTGCTCCTTTCCTTAGAGATTGCAAAGGAAGAGGCTATCGTCGTCGGGTTAGTCAAACGGAAAAAGAGTGAGTTTTTCACCATCTGATTCAATTTAATCTCATAGAGGGATTTTAATGGTGAAAAACGTCTTTAATTGAAGTGCAGCGTTGCCACACGACCCATTTCGCTCAATGGCAAATAACTGACATCAATATTGTAAATGAATATTTAGTATGCATTCGGACTTTCACACAGCACCTATTCGCTACTATCTAGTTCAATAAAATATGTGTTTCTTTATTTATCTCGTTGCAATGCTATTATCACGATGACATTGCTGCTGTGGCTACTCTTAGTTTCTTGAGGGCAGGGGAAACTGATGACTCGTGGGATGGATTTTCGGAAACCTGGGTTAGGAGAATACATGGCCCCTTCGAGCTTGCTTTTATGCCAGTATCTGCAAGAGGTTTCGCACTGTTCACTTGACAGGATGGAATGGAACAGCTTAGGAAAGGGCTTGCATTTTATTTCTGTTATTAAGATGCGATGGAAACTACAATTGTTACGATAATAAAAGCAAGAATGTAGTCATATGGAAAGACAAGGAGTATGAGTACATCTCAAGCGTGAAATAAACAACAATAAGGATCTCACCATTCTTCGCTTGCGAAATGTCAGCCGAAAAGAACGTTGAACAATCGTGTAGGGTGTGGGAACAGGCCCCTTAATCAGCATTCTTTTACCTGAATTCAATGGTTATGTTCCCCTGATTTGACTAGTGGTATGTGTTTGTAACATCCCTCTTAGAAGCCGGTACGGAGCATAACGCGGACGACACTGATGAGTAAAATATCATCGATGTCGACGATCGAAACGCGTCCATGTTGGCCATACAGCTACATCCTTTGAAAAGTAGTGTATAGAAATACCCGGTATATGTGTGTTATTCTTGTAGCTAACATTATTTGGCGCTCCGACTAAGCAATACGTTCGTCCTTTCTTCTAGATTTTTTCTCTCTCCACCATTGTTGCCGACGTGTCTTCACAGTTTTCTGTCACAGTTATGTTACATAATCATTTCGGCTGCGCGCTTGATGGGATAATTTTTGGCCGCCAAATCGTACTTTCAATGCACAAAAATGGTCAAGAAGAACTCGCTAGTTGCTAAGGTCAATCGTTTTTAACGTTAAATACAGCTATCAACCAAAAAATAAAAAAAAAATTCGTGGCATAGGCACTTAAAGTTGTCATTTCCTTTACCTCTGTGACCTTAATGCGTGATTCAGGCATGCTACTGTGAGAGATATTAGATGCTTGTCGCTCTTAGGGGCAAAGGTTCAGGTGTAATTACCAATATATCCCTCTCTCGAATAGACGGGACAACAAATAACAAATCAGCAACACTCGTGGACTGTGGATTTTGCAAACGTGTGCGTTCACCAACCTTGGAAAATTTTATTACTGAAGAAAGGGAGACCTGGAAACTTTAAACAAGTTCCCTTTTTTACATATAATATTTACAAATGATTAAACATAATTGTTTTCTCTGGTTCAAGGAGTGTTTCCTTGAGACAAACGCCGCCCTCGCATAAGCATCATATCAGAACTGGAACGCCGCGAACATACTTCTAGAGGAATCCCTTCATCTATTACTGTAGCTTGAAAAGCAGAAACTTGTCGAAAAGATTTCTGCATGTTCCTTGCAATTGCTTTCATAATGCAACAGAAGGACAATATTCATTGCTTAAGGCAAATATATGCAGTCATCGTTCGGAGTTTTAAACTGCTCTGCCCATTTTGTAACTAGTTTTGTTCGTAAAATTGCCACAGTCTCTTCGCGTTTAAGAGGAAACCAAATTTTCTTAGTAAGTTTCCTTTTGATAGGATATGAACGTGATAATGCCGTTCCAGTTAAATAACCTTGCATAAAGCCCCATCAGTTTTGGTCAAATTGGTTAGAAAGGTCTGCGTCGAAGTCGAGTGTAGCCTTAGGCAGTATACCATGCCGACAAAATATACGCTGGAGCAACACGTACAAAACGTGAAAACTATTGACGAACTTTATTCCTTGATTAAAATATGACTCTGGCCATACTATAAACCAACTGACATTAAAGAAAATCATAAAAACCGTCCACTAAAAATTCGTGAGCGAAAAACGATCTCATCTGAATCAGGATGTTTAAACCGAGGTAGAACCTTTCCTTTGTAATTTTGATTGCATATCAAGAATTGAAGTCTTAAGATCAGACGTTGGACGAAAAGCAGCCTTACTGGCTACTTCGCGATAAAGGGAATTAACTGTTCCTCAAAGAACGAAGAATGCCAGAGGGGATAACAAGTGTAAAAGAAGTAAGCAAAGGCTTATTACAGGGTATCCAAACAGTGACTATTTGAATGTTGTTTTACGAAAG